ACATGCATGTTTATAGAGTTAAATAATGCGTATTTGACGTATGGTGTATAAATTTATATATTTGTCAATATAAGTCTTTCTTAATAAATAAATAAATACAAGTCTAGAAAACTAGGTTGGGCAGCAATTGAGTGGATGAGAGAGTCGATGTTGTTGATTAAATTCTTTTGGCTTAGGGTTTTCATTTGGCAAATCCCATTACACTACCTTATTTAGGGAGGTAAACGAGTCAAGTATTATTGAGCTCAACTCGACTCAATACTCTGAAATAGAGTTCGACTTGACTCGAAAAAATGAGAACTTGAAATCATGAATTAAAGCTCATAAAAACTCGAAAAAAATAATCTTAAACTTAACTCGATTAAAGCCTCGAACTCGAACCTGAATCTTAAATACATAAAAATCTTATATTGGATTAAAAAAATAACACATAAATGCTAATATTATTAATAATTTATTTTTTAAAAATCTTAATATATTATATTTTTGAGCTGCTCACAAGCGTTTCAAGTCGAGTATCAAGTAGCTCGTTTCGGCTCGTTAAGAACTCAAGTCGAGTATTTATCGAGGTTTGACCATGTTGATCTTGAGTAGCTCGCAATGTGTCTTGTTTCATTTACATTCCTAACCTTATCAAACCAAAAATTAATTGATATTCTTATTCTATTAGTATATGTATATATAAGAACAATCTAATGATTAACTTCAGTGGTTAAATGGTGTGTTACTCTACCTAAATGTTTTGAATTTGAAAAGTTGTGTTTTTAAAGTGTGTGTTGTTAATGGTTAAAAGATATTATGAACAAATATTATTTTATAATTATTCCAAAAAAATCATTTTTTAGTTATCGTTTGAATCTTGTTATTCCAGTCAACTCATAATTTTAATCCGAATCGAGTTTGAGTTTACAAAATTCGAATAACTAAAAAACTAAAAGTTAGAAATAAATTGTTGGATCCTTCTTTAGATATTTAGAATCTGTTCGTACTCATAGCATGAATGAAGAAAATAATCGTTGGGATTGTCCTTAGAACTTTGAAAACAAGGGCAAAAAATGAAATTGCAATTGCATGTGAGCTGGATTTTTACAAATTTATGGATGCTGATACGGACGCAATCGAAGAAGAGAATGCTGCAGACTAATGTGTAATGTCATCCACTCAATCATCACGGCTCTAATTGTTTCAATTTCTTTTGCTCTACTTTCTCCAACATCAATGGAGACGAGGCTTGACCCTGTAGTCCCATCACATACTTAAATCGAATCATATATATTTCTTTAAACTATTTTTTTAATTACAATAACCAATTTTAAAATTTTATTTCACACAACATTAAATATTAGTTTAATATCGATATCTAATTTATTAATTAATTAATCTAAATCAAATTTTACATAAATTTATTAAAATAATAATTTACCCGACTCAACTTATTTCATTCATGGATACCGAAAAATTTAACAGTAATTTTAACAATAAGTTTATAGAATAATGCGGCGGCAAATTGCATAAGGTAAGTTGTGTGCCCCATGATGTGCATCTATATTATTTTAAAAAATAGTTAAATTTAATTAATGTGTTAAGAGAAAAATGCATACTCATTATTTTTAAAAAGAAAATCAAAATTTTAGACTTTTATTTTTATATTTTTGGAAAATTAAGATTTGTTTGAGAAGTGCAATGCTAATTAGTCAATATTGGACAAATCCTGCTGCTTGGTCCCCTTTGCTTGGTCCGACAGATGCAAATTTTATTCCATTTCATTGGTGTTGTTTCAGACATTCTTTTTAAATATTTTAAGAGTGCATAAGAATAACGAAGTCAAAAACTAATTATCACCGGTATGTAACAGACAATAACTTAGGGTCAAATAAATTAACTTTGTGTTTCTCTCTTGTCATATCGTATTCGATTACACACCGTAATTTTTCCTTTGGATATTTTCCGACCAACCTTTATTAAGTTGATTTCCCAAGCCATAATTAGGCGTTTTTACCACAAAAAAAAAATCATCCTACCAGTAGATAATTATTTGTCAGGCAACGTTTTTCAAATATTACCGATTAATATTTTTTTTAATAGGTAGACGGAAGACGCGGATTAGGAAGTCTACCTTCCTAGTTACGTCTGAGCTTGCACCACTATAGAAAGGCACCGCTCACGAAACACTTCTTAGCGGGGAAATTTGACACGTGGGGGAAACCGCGGATCATGAGTCGCACCTTTCATCATTATTCCTTTAATATTACCCAATCGTCCGTCCCCCTCTCCTTAATTATCACCTACCCCATTTAATATTGTATGTCCCCTCCCCCTATAAATACCCCTCATACAACCCTCAAACCACACCAAAAATTCTCATTCTTCCTTTTATCCATCCTTCTATAAAACTTTAAGTAGGTTTTATTATATTTTTAGAAGGTAAGTTTTTTATTATATTATAATTATTTGATAATTTATTATTTTATTATATTTTAATGTACTATTTTTATACTTTTTTAGTTATAAAATAGAAGGTGAGTTGTTGCGTTTAGATGAGAATTATATCTTGCGTCATTTTACTGATACGATAACAATTTTAAATTGTATTATTTTAATTATTGTGAATGTTTTATTTATTTATTTATTTTAGTATTAGTTTATATTTTAATTTGTATATTATTTATTTAATAAGGGGAATGACCGTATATTTGATCCATTTATTCATAATGCTAAGTTAGAGATGTCGAGTCGTGTTTGTTCGTATTTAGCCGAGGTGGATTTGATTACATAACGAAATATGAATGACACTGTAACCTTGAACTAAACCTTATTTCTGCATTGATTAAGAGGTGGAGACTAGAGACACACATTTCATATTCCGTGTTGGGAGTGCACTATTACGCTAGAGGATGTTTCCATACATTTGGGGCTTTCGGTAGATGGGATGTTATTTTTGGTGTGGCGGATGGTGATTGTCATTCCTTGTACGATGAGTATCTTGAAGGTATACTGCCTAATTTCAACGGTGGTCGAATACCGTTATCATGATTGGCTACAAATTTTCAACATTTGAGTGAAGATTGTTCCGAGGAACAGACTAAAATATTTGCTTGGGCTTGCACATTACAACTCATAGGAGGGATATTGATGCCCATCAAATCTCGCAACCAAGTTCATTGCATGTGGTTGCGTCACCTCGAAGATTTTCACATTGTCGGCTCACTCAGTTAGGGCTCCACAATTTTGGCATTTATGAATAGAGAAATGTGTTAGGCAACTGATTATCGGAAAAATGCTATTGGCGTATTTCTCATTATTCTCCGGTCATGGGTGTGGTATCGTATGCCTTTTTTATGTCCGACCGTGAATATCTCGTTGGTCTTCCCGTTATTGTTGAGGTAATTTCAATACCGATATCGTATACAAATATTTTTTTTGAGTATATAATGATTTTTTTTTACATTGAATAGATGGTCATGTACAAGGCAAAATCATTGTGATATACTAGACGAATTGGAAGAACTTCGGCTACTCATTGATCAGAAGATTGGTAGAGATGTATTTAATTAAATTTTATTATTTACCTTTAATTATCGTTATATAATTAGAATATTATTTTTATAAGAATTATACATATTTGTTTTAGTTTCAATGCGCTCTTTATTCTACCGAAGACATGAGGCTTTTCATCATTATGTATTTAAAGAAAGAAGAAAAAAAGAGTGGCACACAAAGCACCAAGGACATAACATTCCTTCCGTTTTAAGGTTTTGTGTTAATTACTTAGACCGACTCAGATTATATATCTAACTTTGAAATATTTTATATATATAAAGACTCAAATTTAAGATATTTCTTAAATAATATCAAACTAATTATCACTCGAATTTATAAAATACATAACATTTAGTGAACAGGAAAAGGTGTCTTTGTATAATTATAAATAAATGTATAATTAAAAAAGAATCAGCCCTATGAAGAAAAAAATAGTTAGCAGAACCTAAAGGATGTGACTCATGTCTCCTAATATTCCAAAAGGGTAGAGATCATGTATATATCATAATATCAAATTCCCTCTTGTATTAAGGTCCCCTCTTTCATGTCTTGTACACTCGTGGATGTATGTATGTAGAATTCAACATAAGTACGTACTTATTTTAGAATTTGATTTTTTATATAAATTGTTCATTTTATTAAATTTGTTTATCATGAAATTTTACTTGTAATTACTCTATACAAAAACTTTTTGTTATCAATACATATGCATCTATTTTGAAAAATATTTCTGAATCTATCATTCTTATACACCATTCACCCTTTATTTCTAGCATCATCACAACTTTACGTATATTGAATTTCATAATATATAGATTTTTTTATATCATCCGTTTAATATTTAACGTTTAAATTAGTAATTAAATTAATTGAATAGAGTCGGATGAAAATAAATGAGTTGATCGAATTTACGAGTGAGAATATGTTTTAACTATAATTTGTAATGTTATTTAATAAAGATATTTTAAAGACGTCAGAATTTCTAAAAGATGCAATTGGAGGACTAAATTAAGTTAAAAAAATTAAACCTAAATTACAAAAGAGGAAAGTTGTTAAAAAGAAAAACATGAACTTATAATGTATTTTAATGGTTAAAAGCATTAACAAACTTATCTCAGTGGCTAAAGGAATCATTATTATTTCTAGAGCTCACAAGTTCGAGCACCATATGCTTCAGCAGGTGATTGAACGTCATTATCATTAAAACATATATTACTTTGTAAATTATAACGACACCAAAGCACATTCATTTTAATTTTCGAATATTAAAACTTTTGCTTAGATTCCAATTGAGTCCTCGTATCATCAATGAATGAGGTAGAAGAAAAGCTAGAATTGAGATGTCACTAGCCCTTCAAACGGAACATTCATGTATAAAACCTTTTTCATATATGGCCATCAAGATCGACGACTTCGTTTTTCAAATATTTCCCCTACAGAGGGCATAAATTCTTGGGATAAAATGACAAGCACTGATGCCTAGCTAGGCTAGCCACCCCTCGATTCTGCTTTTATAATTAACCAACAAAAAAGGGGGAGGGGGGAAGAACATTCGTTTCCTTATGAAATTGACTACAAATAAGATTTTACAAATCTTACTAGGAAAAACAAAACATCTGCATAAGTGAGATTAAACCACTGATGTCTTAGCTCGCCACCCCTCCATTCTGCTTTGTCCCTTTGAATTTCAATGAAGGGTTTACATTTCTTCGCATCACTTACCCTACAAAAAGGGCCTTTTAGTCTGAGGTGATGCAGCGAGTTGTTCACAAGTTAAAAAAGCCACTTTATATCCCCAATAAAATGTAGTACACCAGCGTTATGGGCAGCGCTATTAGCATCCCGAATATAACACTGCCATTCCATAAAAAAAGTACGATAAGATCACACATTTAATGGGACAGAAAGAGTATACAATTTTACGCGGTGTTAAGAGAAGTCTTACGCTGTGCTGAGAATATCAGGATGCACGCTGTATTCCTTGGCGAAGACGAAGGGGACAATGCCTTGTGGGAGAGCTGCCTGTTTTAGGAGGACATTTGCTTAATTGAATTGAATTGACCTTTTCCCTTGTAAGGTAGAAAAAGAAAGAAAGAAAGATGACCTGGACAATGGCAACGTGTAGGAGAACGCCACGGAGACCAACAGCGATGGAAGCGGCTGCCATGACAGCTGGACCTGTAAGGAATCTAACAGCCATTGCAAAAGCTGCGACGGAGTTCCCACATGCTATGATCCTCGGTTGCAATGCCATGAACAGACCTGTATGTATGTCATGTATGTATAAATAAAAAAAGCATGTCCCCATCCATCATCACTTCCACCAACCCCAACACATAATATTATCATTACCCACACTGTTGCTTGCTTGCTTTATTACAGCATTTTAATCATCTTAAAGTTGTAACAGAATAAAGAAAAAGAAAAGATCGTTTGTAAAGACTGACCGAGACTGAACATTGCCATGCCGAGGCCTGCATCTGACAGTATGGAAATGGACTTTGCTATGATTGCAGGCATTTGTACATCCCACCTATAACAATCCAAGCATCCCGGTTATCAAAACAGATTTACATAGCCATACACATATGTAATAAAGTAAGAAATAGGAATATAAGTCTAATCAGATAATGGATCCTAACCTGAATGAGATCAAGGACCAAGTGAGGCCTATTAAACTGGAGTAAGTGTTGGGATTTCTAATAAGCTTTCTCCAAACCATGATCAGTATAAGCCTTGTCATTACACTTGTGGGAGGCATGGTTATGGGTTTACTAATGCCATCTCCGGCTTTGTCACCTCCCTGGACATTGTTCATTTCTCTTCTGTTCCCAAAACTGAAGTCATCTCTCTCCATCAACTCCTCCTCATTCTCTCTACGCCCTTCAACTGACACAACATAATACCCCATTACTATTAATTAAAAAAGAAGAAAAAAAATTATCTGAAAATACTATACCTTTGCCTGGAGAGACAGCTACCCTAACTTCTTTATTGTCCGTTGCGGCACCATATTCATGGCCACCAAAGACATCGGATACTGGGGAAGCACTTGAGCTCCAAACAAACATATGAAGATCTTTACCACCTTCTTCGTGCTTTTGCTGACCTTGACCGTTAAGCTTTTTAGCATTACCATTAGCACCTTTAGAGCCGGTGGGCGAGAACATACCCGGATTAGGAGCAGGGTAATGAGCCGTTGCCCCACCGGGTCCGTTGTAATGTAACCTCGGCTTACCGGTGGCCGCACCGTCTTCCTCAAAATTCGACGGCCTGGGGGTCGGTCCACGGGAAGCAGACAAGCCATAAACGTCGGTAGAACCGAAATTCGAATTGCGTCCACCGGCCATCATGGAGTAGAAATCGGTGTGGTTAAAGCTCGAGCCTCTGGGCGTGGGGTTCCTCGATGATTGCAGGGAGTAAATCTCGGCATTGGTTAGATTGGAAGGTCGTGGCGTCGTAGAAGACAACCCTTGAGACCTCCTCGAGAAAATGTCAGACCTTGAAGCATTCGATCTTCGGACAGTAACATGGAGCTTACCATCTTCTTTGATCTCAGCTTCGGTTTCAATAGGCTGTCGACCATCGAGCGACATGATATCGGAGTCGACATGGATCGAAACAATGGAACCCGCAGTGTCCGGGAATTGCTCGGAGATGAGCATTTTGGCAGCTCGGTATTCAAACATGAAAAGCATCAGTGTGTACCAAATAATGCATTGAAGGACGACGATTTGCACCATCAAGCTGCCCGAGAAATCACCGTACATGCCTTTAAGCAAAGGGATACCCATAACCAAAGTATTGGGGAGCGTGGAGAGTGAAAAGAGTGTGATTGTCCATTCCAAGCAGCCTCTTTTGCTCACCTTGGTCCAAACCGCTAACACCACGAGAACTATAACTTTCTGCAGGCTATCAGCTGCTATGAAACGAAAGTTCATAGCATAAGGATTGTTTTGCGCTATGAAGTGAAAAGAGAGAAGCGGCACCGCAAAGAGAGCCACGAAGCGGTTGATGCCGGAGCACTGATCGGGAGTGAAGATCTTCCACCACTTGACGGAGCCGTAAGCTAAAATCATGGCCACGTAGAGTGGCACCATTGCAGTCATGACATGGTAGAAGTCTGTTAACGTGATCATCTTTGAAACAACAACACAGGAAGGATTACAAGTGCAAAGAAGAAGAAGAAATTCAGAAGGGAAAGAATATGTTATGTTTGGGGTATTGGAGAAAGGAAAATGGGCAGGGAGAGCAGAGAATAAAAAGCTTTTGAAAGTTGTGAGCAAGCTTGCACTTGCAGTCCCCAATGCCTAAAGCAATGGGGTTTTGCCTTTATTTTATGGTGTAGGCTTTTGAGTTGTGATAAGATGGGTGTAAGTTGGTATATTTGTAAATTGAATATAGTACTATTGTGGTGGTGGCTCTACCTTCGATGGACTCTATTGCCCACACTTCAGTAAAAAAGGAAAAGGATAAAGCAATTTGGTTGGGAGAGGGTGGGTGGGCGTGTCTCCAAGTAATTGTTTGGGATGATATACGCTCCTTTTCTCAAGCATTACAAGTGGCCCCTCAGCTCTTTTTCCTTCTTGGATTCGCTTTTTTGCTATATGGATTCTCTCTACCTTTTTATCCTTTCACTCTTACCATTTACCCCATAGAGATCATATAAATCCCCTTAAAATGCACTTATAAATTCATTTGATTAAGACTTGAGTATGTTTTGATTCAATCAATTAAAATATTAGATAGGTACTTACTATCATAGTGGGATGAAGCACTAGATCTCTTAAACAAGGTTAGGGATTGAAATCTTGATATTTACGAATAAAGTAAATTAGGTTGAGAGGGTCGTCTTCACCTCTGCATTATTCGATCTGGATTAGCCGATCAATAAATTGGATACCAGTGATTAGTTAAAAAAATAGTAGTTAGGTTAATTTAATATATAACTCTAAAATATTATGGGATGTCTAAATTTATGGGTTTTAATAATTACTTGACTGGATCTAAGGCCCAAAATTAATAAATCAGGACTGTGACAACACAAGAAAACCTAATCATATCCAAAACCAAGAATGAGGTATAAGTCAGATTGGATTAGATTGAATTAAACCAATTCAAGTTTAATTTTAAAAAATCTCAATCAATTTGAAAATCAATTCAATTTTTAAAATAAAAACTCGTATTCATACTTGGCCCAATATGATATCAGTGGAAGATCTAGAAATTTAAGAATAAGATCCAAAATTTTAATTTTTTCTTAAAAATAATAGGTATGCAAAAATTTTATTTTATTTTTCATTTTCTTAACACATTAAGTTAAATTTAACATTTTCCAAGATAATGGGATGCACTAGGCCCCTATAAAGGCTTGGTGCATTCGCCATCGCCTGACATGTCCTCGTATTATAGTGTAAGGTATTTTTTTTATAGAATCAACTAATTTTATTCAAAATATGAAATATCTCAAATTACAATAAAAATTTACAATTACAATCGTAAATTAAAAAATAATTAGGAAAATTTCCTATAATCATTTAAACAAAACTAACAACTTAATATCACATAAGGACCATTTAAAGGAAAGATTAAATATCTAAGCAAGAAACTCGAACAAAGATAGATACAAACAGTTCTGATTGTATCAATAAACAAACCACAAAAGGAGATCGAGCTATTGAAAGACCACAGACAAATCGCTAATAAGACTCGAGCGACATGAAAAACTATCAATGTACGAAAATCGGGTATCCAAATCCAATTCGAGGGTCCAAAGTAGAAAGATCAATAAGATATGAAATCAGCGTCATCTTTATCAATCGTGATGATGTCAAATCAATCATTAAAAAAATATAAATGAAAAAAACGACCAAACGACCGAAAAACATGCCAAGAGATATAAGAAAACTTGTCATGCATGCAAACTTCTTAAAAAAGAAAAAGAAAATATAGATACTATACAAGAAATGAAAAAGACAAGAAAAAATATCGACGGTTGACAACCAACGTTAAAATTGATGTTGTTATCGATCAAAAAAGATAAAAAAGAAAAGAGATAACGACATACCAATTAAAAAAATCTAGTTTTTTTTAATGAGAGAAATCGGATGGAGATAGTGTAAGGTATATTTTACTCCATGTATTTCTAAAACAACAACCAAAATCATTTTTATTAAAAAATTGAGCAAAATGATATCTTCATAATTGTTAAAAATTTATTATTTTAAACATACATGGATCAAAATGCACTTCAGTTCCTGCATCATACACCAATTGATTTGAATATCATTGTAATATCTATTAAGATGAATCTCCATCATTTATAGATTATTCAAAATTAGTTTAAGTTTCGATGAATTTCTAGGTTTACTCCTTCAAGATGATAAGCTTGCATGTCTGTTTCCCCAACGCAGAGAGCTAAAATTGGATTATCGAGTTGATTGGAAATAGGACATCGTGACTTGTTGATTCTTGTCTTCCAAAAACACCACTTCTTGGTCTGAATTATTAAGTATATACTGACACTAAAATTTGATAATAAATGAAAATAATATTATTTACTTTTAACGAATTTGATTGTAAGCTTTCTATATATCAACGAGTGTTATGGACAACGTCGAGAGAAAAACAGATCATAAAAAAATTTAAGATTTACGTGGAATTTTAAAAAGGAGAAATCATAAAAGAAATTTACTATATTATTAAAATATGCGAGATTGTTATAACATTTTTGGTTATTTAAGATTTACATTCTATTCCGACACCTGATACATCGGAGTTGTAATAAGGAGTTCAAATATAGATCGAGTTTGAGTTAAGAGTGTTTTGTCCATCATCAAGTAGAAATTATTTAACTCACAACGACATCTATGATCCCAACCAATAAAATTCATCAATTTTAAAGTAATTTTTAAATAACTACCCACTCCTTGTAGGAAAGAAGCGAAGATTTCACCTTAAAAAAAATAAGATAGACGGATTTTATTTGTTGGGATCACGAATAACGTGGTAAACCGGATCCATCTAATAATTTTTCTTCATTAAGGGGTTCAATCCAACTTGACTCCGAATATAATCAAAGTCCATTTGATTATCAGATACAGGGGGCTCAGAAAGAAAAGGAGAAGAAATACCTTTTGTAAATAAGATTTCATGCACATAGCAATGGAAAGAATACCACAGATTGTGCAAAAATGGGTATGAAACAGACATGATAAATATGCATTGAAGAATGTTTAACAAGGAAAAGCTTCTCAAAGAGAAGCTGAGAAAATTAAATTGTACAAAAAGTAATGGCCTCAATAGGGTATAAATGATGAGACAATTACCAAAATTTGTTCAATCCTATATATGAACCAAGTTCAGCTGCTACTATAAAAAGATCTGACTACGTATTCAGACTGTTCTCAGCACGAAATTAACGAGGCATCTGGTACTGGAAGCTCCAGAACCTTGAGTGAAACATATCGATACGGCATTTTTTGAACTTCAAACACCTTTAGACCCGGGAAGGTCAATCCAGTTAAGTTGAATTTCCAGTTCACCGCACTCCACATTTTTCAATCGGAGGCAAAGGTTTTGCACGACCTTCCCGTCGACCCACATAATGGCGCTCTCTTCAGACAGGCAGTTTGTCCTGCAGGGTTGCACTCGGGATATGGTGGTTCCACTCGGGATGTCTTCGAAATCCTGTTTCAAGGCTTCTACGTAAGGCCTGATGTCAAACTCCGCCTCTCCCATTTTGTCATCCTTGGTAAAAGTGTCATGGTCATACACCGTCTGGAGAGTCATGCAGACATGGGAAACACCGTAAATGAGCTAATAGCAGAAATAAACTCATATGTTAAAATGCCAAACTGCAGAAGGTTGCCTACACAGAGGACAGAAAATTGCTTTGGACTAAACTCATGGAAAGAAAGCATATTGTTCCTTGATACTTAAACAACTAAAATATAAATTCAGCATCAACATATGCAAAGAACACACATTAAACCAATTTAAGCATATAAATGACACATGTTTGCATATATTTGAAACTTTTTCTATTCATTTCCTATCGAAAATCTGTTTCGCCCCACTGCCAGAATTTTAGTTCGCATTGGGAGAATGGTTATCTGGGAATAAATGTAGGCGCCCAATGTTCTGCTATACAATAATGCAAGTGTTGATTATTGAACTGTCTACACTCCATGAATATTGTACAAGAAAACTTACCAGTTTTATTGGAACACTAGGATCCATTACGGAAAGAGTCAAATCCTCATTCCACTCAGGATTAACATCCTTCTTTATCACACGAGTCTTCAGTTTCTGTAAAAGAAATAGTTAAATGCAAAATTAGAACCAAGAGCAAGTTGCTCGAAAAGACGACTCCAGAAATTGAACATTGGAAGGTATTCATGCCCAAGCCATAAAATCCAAGTACAATTGTGGCGTTAGTAATATCAATTTTATACTTTTACATGATATAGACTTGCCTTTCAAACTTTAAACCACAAAGAACAACAGCAATATTCGATCCATATAAAAATTATTTGAGCCGTAACATTTCAAGTTGCCTTTGAATCCAGAATTCTGATAAGAACCCAGAATTTCAAAGTGATTTAGGAGCAAATTACATTGCATCATAGTGATATTCGTAAGCAAATATAGATATTTACGGGAAAAAACAACTAAATTCCTGGCGAAATTGTTAACCCATCTTAACAACAAGGTAGGGAGACTAAGGGGTGTTTGTTTACTACTGAATGGAATCATTCAGCGCTGAATGCTGAACGATTCAGTATTTTACGTGTTTGATTATCATCTTTGAATGAAGACTATACTGAATGATCATTAAGCACTCAGTATTTTATCATAATACCTATTTTTTCACATGTTATATTATTAAACGATCATATTTTAGAATACAATAAATAATTATGAAGTAAAAATAAAAATATTCAGAATTAAGATTGTACATTTAGAATCATTATCAAACAGTTTTAGAGTTGATTTATATAGATCATTTAAATCATTCACGCTTAATCATTTTATTTTATCAAAGAGAGAGAGAGAGACAGACCTGTTTACCCATCTTAACAACAACGTAAGGGTCGCTGCTTCGGACATCACGAACGGCAAGGTTGACGCCTCGTTTGACCCGAATCCGTAACAGACCCAACGAACAGGCCATCAACGATGAGTTCGCTTCTCTTGGAGATTCTGCCATTTCTTTTCGGTCTCCCTTCTTTTTATACCCAAAGCATACAAGTTTATTCCTTACGTTAACTTCTACCAAATCAAAATTCAAAATAAATAAATAAAAATATTAAACGAGATAGCCGATGATTATAGAAAATGAAATAGCTTAAGTTTAAGGGGACCCACCTGACCGCTCTTTGTTGACAGTCTGGGAGTTTTTCCTTTAAAAAGGATGTTTGGAGGTAGATGGTGGGGCAAGGAGAGTGACCGGGAGATCCGGTACCCGGTACGTGAAACTACTGGATGACAATTGGTCGTCGTTGTATAATTATTCAGGGAAGCGAGTAGAATGCGGTAATATATATTATAAAAGTCAATTCTACAATTAATTAAGGTTTGAATATCCTTTTAAATCCTTAAATTTTCTATAAAAAAATATTCTTTTTTAACTTTTTAAACTTAAAATTCGAAGTTTTATTATAAATTAAACTTAAAATTTGAAGTTTAATTATAAATTAACCAATCTTTTATCGTATTGTACTCTTAAGAATTAAAATTTTTCTAATTAGACCGAATTTAACGGAATTGAAAACAAGGGAATAGTGAACAAAAAAGAGATGCAAGCTTAGGGAATACAAGTGAAGTTAGGAGAAAATGGTCATCCGCTTCAGTTGCCAGATCCAATAGTACAAAGTCCCTATCAGTGGTAGGAAGGGAAGCTTATCACCGACAAAGTATGGATGCAAAAACTGACCCCGTATCTCAACCACCACAACACCTAACAGGTGACTCTTTGCGACCCCACTGAGCCCCAACCATTGTTTCTCGGAAGCACTTCTGGAGCTTCCCTTGGACTCGAATTGAGTTGCCTTCTTATCATCCTGCAAAGAGCCCTTCGTCGCAACGCTCTTCGGGAATAGTGCAGAAAAACAGAACCACGTCAGGATCCTGTGTAGCAACAACAGCAATACTTTTATCGGGTATTCTTGGGCTTCATATAGAAGGGGAAAGAGAGAGCAGCAAGACACTGTCTGATATATAGTTTTCGAAATTTCTCAATCCACCACTGATATATATACGAGTTCAAAAGTTAACCAAGAGAAGAACGATTACGTATGGATAAAAAGAAATAATGCTTTGCGTCCTCCAAACTTTCCATAGCAACAAGAGTAAGTGGGATAGATATGTGTAGTGATGTTTTCTCGTGAACGTGCCACCCAAATAAAAAGCCACAAGTATATGCATATGCAACTGATCTGGCAATCATCCTTGGCCTGGGATCCCTCCTAGTTTTAAAAAGACTAGGAAATAAGGCAAGCAGGACTATAATGAAGGTTGTCATCGGTGTTATCTGCCATTTCATTCAGATCCAGTATAAGACAGATCAATCAATACTTCTATCATACAAAAAATGGAAATAACATACCCTCAATTGTTAAATATAAACAAGGAACAATATCTAACAGTCCAACTAGCAGCCAATGCCTTTACTCATTGCTGAGATAACGTGATTATCAAAGGGAGATGGGAATGGGGATCGGCATGGCAGCCAACTTGGGTAGATCCAAACATGAAATTGTTCAGCAATTATGTACAAGATCAATCCTACAATATTTACCGAATCTCCTTACCCGAGGTAATACGACAAACGGTGATGCATCACCAACTACTCCACCTGTGAGTGAAGCTACTGATACTGGTATATTGAAGCCAACTCTCCTCAGCAAGTAAGCAATCTCTTTATCTAAAATTATATATAAAACCCAAAAAATTGGTGCCCAGTAAGCATGACAGAGTCCCCTGCCAAAAGGAAACATGCAGCGGATGACTTGTTGTATCTGCAAGGTATTTGCAGCATGCTTAATTCAATGCACATAACAAGTAAAAGTGAAACCATAAAATTTGCTAAAAGGAATATGCACTTCTAAATTAATGAGAAGAGGAGGGTATAAGAAGCGAAGTGTGGTGTCAAGGTCCACGTGAAGCTGAATACAAAAGTCTTGCAAATGCTCTCTCTGAGTTAATATGGATAGAACAGTTGTTGAGTGAAATTGGTGTATTTATCCTTGGTAAGCCAGTTGTTTGGTGTGATAACACCTCAACTGTGTCTCTTGCAGCAAATCCAACAAATCATGCTCGTGTGAAGCATGTTGAAATTGATATGTTTTTCGTTCGTGAGCGTGTCCTTGCTGGGAAGCTGGTAGTTAATCATGTTCCAAGTAGAGAGCAAGCTGCAGATATTTTAACTAAGCCTGTTCCTCGAGCTGTTTTTCCTCGACTTCGTTATCAACTTGGGGTCAAGTCTCATGAAGAAGTTAAAAGACAAAAAGAAACCGGGAGAATATTAGAATATTCTAATAGGATGTGAACCAGGAAAATATTAGAATACCTGTTGTTGTCAATGTTTCAATTGTATTGGGCCGTTTGGGTTGTTAGTGTCTGTTATAGAGTTTGTTACAACTCAGGTGTACTATAAATATTTGGGTTCCCTTAGTTGGGCCATTTATCGTACTGATCTTAATGAAATCCAATAATATTCTCCCTTTGTTATCTTTCTCTCTTTCGTCTATTCTGTCATATTCTTCCTTATAGTTTTCAGATCGTCATCAGTCATTCTGACATGGTGGCTATGCCGAAAAACCAAAAGCCCTTTTTTATGGCTGCCGGCGATCGTGAACTCTCTTGCAGCTCCATTCTACAACGAACACAAAACCGATAAAACACTACAGATTTCACAAACTGAGTTAACGACAACGTTAAACGACAAGTAATGTCAATAGACAAATTCAGTGTAACTTAAAAGGTAAGTAATTTTGTTTTCAATTTTAAAAAGGCTATATATATAATTTGACCTTAAATTTTATACCTTTATCAAATCTACCCTTAAGGATCGTTTAGTTCACAAAATATAAGATTACCTTTGAAAATGATATTACTGAAATGTTACATTACTTAACATGTCTTTTAAATTTTTTTAATACGGACACTAACCCTCTTACTAGTAAACACTTGGTATTCCTTGAATAATGTTTTATAAATAATACAAAATATTAATGAGAATATAATTGAGTCAGTGAATTGATAAAATAAAATATTTAAAAATTACACTTAAAAGATCAAATCGAATAAAATCTAATTAAAAAAGTTAAGTTATAAAAAATAAGAGATTCCTCGTCAAAAACAGAAAAAGAATTTGTACATACATTCCAAAATGATTGAAGATTAATTTTATCAAAATGAACTTACAAAATGAAAGATAATTTTAAAAAAAAAATTAAGGATCAAATAATAAAACAATTAAGTTATATAGCTAAAGTTAAAAATAAAAACAACGTAAGTGTAATATTCAAGCTTTTAAAATTTAAACTTAACTCAAATTTAATTTTTTTGAACAATTAATTTGAATTAAATCGAATAATTTAAAATAAAAAATTATTTGTAGTCAAATTATATTTTATTCACCCTACGCTTTTTTACCTTAAATGATTAAAAGGATAATTTTTATATCTAGATCTCCCAAATTCGAGCACCATCAACTATATAGTATTTGAACTTTTAGTATCAAATGATTTAGAGTCTCTAGAACAGATACCACAACTTGTAATCACCTTATATTAATAAAATAGAACTAAGAAAATAATTAAATATTTTAATTTTCCTTTTTTTACCTAAATATCACCCAAAAGAATAACATCAAAGATAACATATTTTTTTGCCACATAAGACAAAGACGTGTTACATGAAAATGCCTTTAAAAATGCACCCTGTATATCAATCTTATATTCAATAACTTAGTAAATATATGTTTTAAAAAATTTATTTAAAACTTAAAAAACTCATATTTACACGATGTGAGATTTTAAATGCTGAGGGTTATCTTCAATCTTGTGGTCATGGATCGAGTCTCACGGTGGGTAATTCATAATTCTGACTGTCGGAGGTCTTCCACGGAAACTGCTCTCAACCTGGCGTTGGGAGCAGCCTACTACCTTACCTCCCCTCACCCCATTACATATGGGAATAGGGTCAGCTATCGTTGTTTGCATATGATTTTTTTTCTTCTAAATGTTAAAAGGTAATTTTTTAATATATATTTATTGATTGATTAAAAATAAAGTTAATACAATTGTTTTTTATTGCTCAAGTCATTTATAATTGTATATAAATATGGGATTGAATCATAATGTTTTAAAAGAAGAAAAATGAGTTGAAAGATTATCCCATAATAATTTTTTTATAAATTTAATTTATTTAATAAATTAAAATAAATATTTATATTTATATAAAAAATAATATTTTAATTAATTACTTATCTCTTTTATTTTCTTTAACCTAAAAAAAATCAAAAAGCGTCGGTTCAGTCCGTCCAAATATAAGCAAGCCCTAATTCCAGCATTCAGACTAATTGCAGGTATAGAGGGGGAGTGATGGCTCCTTGCGGGACTCGTACCATAAAGGAGGCAATTTCTTGCTTACGCGAGAAAGTTAACCTATTCGGGGTGATTCTCGACTACACTTGGCCGAAGAAAAGCAAAGGAACCGGTAAGGCCTGCCGTTTCTTTACTCGTTTTAACTGTGTCAGGCTGTGATGACACAAAGGCCGGACTTACGGCTGCTACCGCTTCTTGAGATGGTAGTAGGGTGATGTTTCGTTGCGATAAGGTGTTTGTGCTGAGCCACTGTTTTTTTTTTCACGAGTTCCTTGATGCTTGTAGTTTGTGTATGAAACTTTCTAGAAAAAAATTATTCCTTTTTATTAATTTTCTTTATGAAAAGTAAAAGACAAGAAGATGATTTCTTATGGGAAAAATTTCTTTTATTTCTTTACTTTTTTTTCACTAATTTTCTTGATTGTACTTGTATGGAAGTTGTAAACTTATTTTGCTCAGCCAAAATTTATTGTTTCTTTGCAGACTATATATGTAAGCTTACAATAATTGATGCGTCAGATCCTGAGCTTCGGCTTCCCGTGCATGTGTTTGAAAGAGAAAGGAAACGTCTTCCTCGTGTTGCTGCTGTTGGAGATATTATTCACCTTTCACGTGTCAAGGTATACTCCAATAACTATAGTGTTTTCTTGCCTCTTGCTTTCTGTTTTTTCCACCTCAATATTGCTTGTGTTTGGTCAGTTCTTATTTCAGCTTTGGTTATTTTTTCTGTTTATGAATCTATTAAAGGATTGAAAACAGCTTTTTTCCTCGGAGTTTAGGATATTTGCAATTCCTGAAGCATTTGCAAATGTTTTAACAATTTGAGGTCAGTTAGGTTTTAGAATTGGGGAAGTGATTCAGCCATGGAAGAAGAAACTGTATTGCTTATATATTAGATTATCAGTAGCTCAGTACTAGCAATTGAAAGAAGAATAAGGCGAGAGTAATTAAAAAGGAGATTACTGACAGATAAAGAAAGAGAACCTCTTATAACTCAGATCACTTATACAATAGTTTCACTGATGACTCATCAATAACTAAAATTTCCGTCAAACCAAATTCCAAATGATGGTATGATTGTGAAGTGATATATTTGGTAAATGTTAATTGATCCGAATTGGACTAAGATTGTCATTAGATTAGAATTAAGATTGATTTATAATGTTACTTTGGATATATCCTGTATGCCTGAATAGAATTGAAATAAGGTCTCGTAGACAAATAATATCAAGACCTATTTTTTAAACTAACTAAGCTATTTATTTACTGTCACAATGAACTCAGCTGTTCCCGAGACTGATTTTGATAATGTTTTTTTGGATAATATTGACCAATGACATTGTGATAAGACATATAGCCTAACATTCTTAGCCATGTGAGTCATAAAGTTGAATCTCCTTGGCTGTAGATAAGCTCATTTAATACTTTTTGCATCTGCTGTTATGTTTGCTCTGAAGGGCATAATTTGCATAAGAAATTAAATGTAGATATATTGGGGATTTTCTATGAAAACAACTACTATTGTTGTTTATTTTTTCTACTGGCTGAGAATAATTTGCCTCCAGAAGTGACAGATCTCTCCCTGTCCATCTTGTGTGGCCCCGGTTTCTTCTTAGTGTATCCTTTAGGCATTAAATAGGGTATGTTCCTTGAAATTAGTATAAAGAGCTAATCCTTGGTGAATGTTGAGTGTTGACCTTAATGTGTAAATATATTGATGCTCTTGTTATATATGATTCTTTATTAGATTATTAGAAGTTTTTTTATGAGTTGTAGTTAATGCATATGCTTATTAACTTCTAACCGAAATTTCGTTATGCAAGCATGTGAAGTCATCACAATTCAATTTGTAGACTAGACTCCATTGGTTGTTTTAATTTATTGATAAATAAGATCAAATTCAATGCAATATGTCTACTACATATTTTCTTTTGTTACAGCCTTATAGTTAAGATAAAATGTAGTCTCCTGCATTTTGCTGAAGTGGACTTGTTTTTCTTAATTTGTTATTATTTTTGATTATGTTTTTTTAAGATAAACTTCTAGGCCTATTTTCAGGCCCTTAACTATTAAATTGAGTTTTTAGGCTGAATATTAGAGCCTGCTAAATTTTGTGGCCTGGCATACAAAGCATGTTGCCTTTAATTTTTATATAGAAATTGTAATACAATAAATGAGGTTGGTTCATGCATCGGGCTTCCTATCTCTTTTACTTGCACAAGTCAATGGGTTTGCATATGAGAGTGCTTGCACGACAATGTTATCTTTTAGGTTTGGTGGCCTTACAACTGCTCGAATTTAAAACTTTACTGCTCTGCACAATTCTCAATTGCACAAGCTCATTGGAATTGCCAATTTAGTCAAATCACAGGCCTATAGCATACTTTATGATTAATGTTTGATGCTAGAGATGGCAAACCGAAATAAACTGACAGAACTTGCTTGATATTGACCATGCTTATAACTCTAAATTGGGTAAAATAGTCAAAAAGCCAAATTGATCAAATATAAGTTTTACCAAATTTGGAAATAATGCAAAAGCAAATTGACCTGATATAATTAACTTGACTGAAAGTTGCTTCTTATCGAATGCACTAACTTTTGTGGTAATCCAAACTTGAATTGATTTGATACCTGAAATGGTCCAAATTTATTTGAGTGGTGGACAATCCAAATTTGTAAAGTAAAATAAAAATGTTTGACATTTACTCTCAAAGTGTGTAATATAAATACATAGTTTAGGAAGAACAAATTGACTATGTATAGATGCAACACTTGAAGAATTAGATGGCCAAAAAGTATTCAACGGTTGAAGCATTAGTCGTAAAAAATTTAAATCCAAGGCAATTAAATATTTTTTTTGATTGAGCTTTATGTGAATTAGGATGTTTGATATTTTCCTCTCTTTTTTAACCATGGATGACACTAAGAAATTTAGTTTTATCTCATAACCATTCTTAATTAATTTAATTTTAAGATTCATTGTTAAAGCAAGCAGTTAATTGATTATTTATCTATTAATTAAATATTAATGTTATATAGAAATGATATTCCTTTATATCCTTTACTTGTATTTTTGCTACGTTATGCAACTTATCATATGAAGTAATATAAACCCAATATGACCTAACATGAAATAATTCAAACCTTAAATGGTTTGATCAAAATGATTTAGAATGCCCAATAATGAAATTGGTTGTACGTTATGATTCAGAGTAATGAATTTCAGAGGTACTCTAGTCCTCCTTCCTATGTCCTTCATGTTACTTATATAACATGTAGGACATGAAGGAGGTCTTTAATGAGGCCTTTCTTTTATAAAAAAAAATAATGAAATAACCCAAGTCCAAAATAACTTGATATAATGCATGATCGATAATAGCTTTGACCTTAGTATGAAATGATTCAACTTGATGTCAGCTGAATTTGCATGATTGCACATCTATTTATAACATATAATGGAAAGAATGATTTGAGTCTCATAGCCAGTAGTTGAGAGTCTTTGGCTTCTTGTCAACGAACTATCCTGAAAGCTTAGTCCATTACCTTTGGATAAATATTATTTTGCCTCCCGATTTATTATATATATATATATATATATTGGATAATTCAGATTTATATTTTTCATTTCCCATAAATGGTATTTTATCTTCTATAAATTTAGTTTGAAAAAGGTAATTACCGTTTGCAGATGGAAATTTATGAAGGAGTTATTTATGCTGTATACAACAAAAATTTCTCTTCATTTGCTTTATATGACGGGAAAGATGGTCAAAGTTATCGGCCTTATCAAGGCCACTTAAAATTGCCTGCGGAAGATCAGGATAGAATGATGATCACAGGCCTGAGAAACTGGTTAGCAAGCTCACAGGTCATTGACGGTATGCTTTTTGTTTGCTAGTGATCTCTGTATTTCAACATTAACTGGTATGTTATATGTCTTTAACAATTGTACTCTCTACATTAGCATCAATCAAATTTGAATGTTCGAACAAATGTCAAATGTGTATGGTTCATTCCTCTCGTTCTCGACTCTTGAAGCGATTCGGGGTTGCATCTATGATTTTGATTCTATTTGCATATATATTAAAAGTCATGCATGTGCATTGCCTCTTATGTGATTCTATGCTCTAATTATGATGCCAAAAATCTGGTCATTATACCATCGCCCAAAAAAATGTTTTACTGTTATTCTTTTTTTTTGGTAGTGCCAAACTTCTTATTATTGAAGGAGATCAATCAAGTGGAACCGGTAAATATCGCTTGCAAGGTATTAAACAATAACTTCGATTTTCCAGTGCTATACTTTTTTGCTTGGTTTTCAAATATGTCATATTTAATCACATGTTAGTAATGTTTTTTATTATTATTTCAATGTGTGCTGATCCATCTTTGTATTTAATTTTTGGCCATACTAAGGTACTTCATACATGCAAGACTACTAATAATGAGGGGATGATCTTTCTTTGGGATGGAACTGATGCTCCACCTATCAATATTACTAAAAAGTGAGTTGGTATCTTTTAATAGATTCTCTGTTTATTTAAACCTTAACCCTAAAGAAAACACTAGGGTTTGATGATTTTGTATTCCTACTTTTTAGAACCGTAGTATTGCCACTTACCAAAATTATTATTGAAAGTACAGTTGATACTTTCTAAATTTCAAATTTACATGGCAAAAAAGCTAATTTGTTCTTCAAGAAATGCACTAATATGCACATATGTATTCGAGTTCTCGTATAGTAAACTTTCTATAGCATGAATTTAAACCTTCTCAATGAGTTACTACTGTGCTGATATTCTTGGCAAATCATTTGCTTGCGACTGATTCTTTTTAACTTTTACTCAAGTACTTCAAACTGTTATTTACATTTATTCATAATTAGTGCAGCATTGTGTATGCATGACGTAACTGTTTTCTTTTACTATTATTGTTGTCAACCTGTTACATCGCATATTTGATGAAAAAACAAAAAGAAGAAAGAGATAGAGAGAGAGAGAGCCAAATCATTGGGAGAACATGCGCTTTCCTTACCTCCTTTGGGGCAAAGTATCTTCTTGAAATTCATATTTGATCTATCTGAAGTTTTAAGTCTGTCATGATGAAAGTTGACTTCATTTATTGAACAAGTTTTAGTTTTGCAAGCACAATATTGATGCTTTCTATGCCTAGTTTATTTATTTATTTGTAATCTAACAGATTTAGTCATACTAATGAGTATGCTCCATAGGGTGGAAGATGAAGGACATAATCCGCTTTCTCTACATTTGGAAAAATTGCCTTTATCAAGTGATGTGCTATGCACATTTCCTACTGCTGGCACCATATTAAGAGTGTTCCTCGAAGTAGATGTAGACTGTATTGAACATATCCTTCAGTTGCTGAAAAATGGTCAATGGGTGAAACTTTTTCATTTATCATGCAAAGAGCGTGAAGGATTATGGTATGGTGAGTTCACATCAAATTCAAAGATCCAAGATATGTCAAATGATGATATTCTCATGATTGACCGCCAAAGGTGATTTTTTGTTGCAAGCGTCATCTTGTTAAACAAATAGATGGTATATTTGATTGATATTCTTTTTGGAAGATTTCAAAATAACACTCTCTTACTATATCCATGTTTGTCAGAAAATATGCTTGCCGATCGCGAGGTAATCCAGATCGGATGCCATTCTGGGCCTCTAAACCGCCATCAAGAATAACAGGTTTCATGTTCAGACTATAATATGTTTAGATTTCTTATGGATCAGTGTATTTGATTCAATCTCGTAAATGCAATTATAACATTTTTCCTGGAACCTATTGAAATGGATTATTGATTATGTAATTTTAATTTTTCTATGCGCTTGATCAGTGGTCGACTCTGGTGTTGTTGCGCCATTTGCTACATTGATGGATGTTCTCACTTGTCGAAAGGTATTCTACCTTTCCACATTTTCTGATATCATGGAGGTGGTTATTTTGTTAGAAGAAGTAGGCCATGCCACTTTACCACTTTCTTTTGATCCAATGTTTCCCAAAATACCTCCCAGAACCTTTGAAACCCTTTCAGATAAATCTGTAATATCTTTCCGTGATTCCGTACCTCACAACCACCAACATTATTGGTCTGCCAAGATTAGGTGGGCTTTGGTTGAGTTTTTTGAAATATGATATATATTTTTTTGCTGCAATAATTGGTTTGGGCTTTGTACTTGTGTATATGGGATGCTTAAAATTTGGTTGTTTAATGTTGTAGTTCTTCCTACTGGCAATGGGTGGCTGGATGGTCTGAGTTGTCGAGCACTAGTTGTTAGCTGTTTTATTGTGATGCTAAAGATGGTTATTTTCTCTTTTTTATTGCAATTGCATCGTTTTGAGTGTTACTTTTTTTTATATAGCAGAAGTGAAGATTATTTGTGCAATTGTCATCCTATTCTAGACTATAACTAATATTTTGCTAGAGAGGCCTAAGCTCGGCGATTTTATCCTTATTAAGGTGTTTCATGAACAGTAAGGGGATGCTCATATTTAGTTTGAAGGCTATGGCGACATTATTAAACTAGAGAATAATTTTCAACTGGAGCTGTGATTATTTGTTGTTTGAGTAATCTTCCAGGTAGCAAGGAAGTTCAGGTGTGTAATACGAGTCGTTGCTGTATTTCCATGGCGAGTGGAGGATTTTCGCGCTCGTGATGGAACTTATAGGGTTAGGTTCACCCTAGAGGATCCAACTGCCCGAATCCATGCTTATGCTTTTGCTGAAGATGGGGTAAAGACATTATTGAACCATTTCTCTTCACATTTATAGATCTTGTGATGATATAACCGTTAGACTTGGAAATGGTGACATCTGCTGCTTTGATTTTGTAAAGTATCTTTTATGTATTGTGAAATTGATGTTTACTTGTGGTGGTGTATTATGCATTCCTCCTGACTCTTGTATAATGTTTAATTTCTATTTTGCTACATTTCTTAAGGAGAAATTTTTCAATGGTTCATCAAATCATGCACTGAAACGGAAGCTAGACGAATTGCTTGGAGCACCTGATGAAACTGAAGGTGGTGCTAGAAATCAGCCATGGGTGCAGTGTTGCCTGATATCTCATTCCGGAAAAAAACGCCGTTGGATATGTGATACCAAGCTTATTGGTGAATGAGTCTCTAGCTAAGGTTAAGATTAGGAGAAACAAGGCATTACTTTTTGCGAGTACCAGGGATTATGCTTTTGCTCTCTCTAGCTATAACTTATGTGAAGTTACTTATCTTGATGTAAAAATGATTGCCCAAACTAATGGTAACATATATGTATATTTTGTATGGCATTCGCTTTTCCAGATGTTGCTGATGCCTCTGCTACTTTAGCAATTTCGATTGAAGGCGTGATTTATTTATTTTCATTAAAATTAATCGCATTTCTTTGGTCAAAGGTGTTACTTAATACTCTTTGTTTAGCTAATTTTTTTTACGTAGGTAATGGTTTTGGGTAAATAGATAGCTTTTGTGTAATTGAGAATATTATTGACCCAAAAAAAAAAACTTTACCAAATGGTAGAAGAGACAAACGTTTGGGGCAAAAAAAATGCATCATGCCATAAAAATATCTATGATAAAATGGACCTTGGTGTGATAAATTGCCAAGAAAAAGAGATGACAGCCCAATTTTTTCTTCTAAAATATGTCCTCGGTGGCTTGTTACTCTGATAACGGTTTGAAAACCGAAGTTCCAAGCTCAAATGAAGCAGAGCAGTCTCAGACTCAAGCTATTCGAATGCCGAGCATGGAAGAAATCCGTGCTCAAGAAGTTTGGAATAACTGTGCTGTCCGTAGCGTCGCTAGTGGAGTCATGGGTAAGTCCCAAATTCCGGTTTCGTTAGATTTTCTAATAGCTTCTGTTTTAACTCGCTCTTTATGAATGATAATCCGTTTGGCAATCAAGAAAAAGGAGGAAAAGAACTGGATAACTCATTAACGATTTGAATATGATGGATTTCAAATTGATTTTTATGTGGATTTTTTGAATGAAGGAATAAACTCTTCTACCTTTGCATTATCGTAACTTCCATTAATTGGAGGGTTTAAGGTTTCTAGGGTTTTAGTATCTGTGATGATATATTTTGCATTGCAGGAGGTGGGCTGGGATTCATGATGGGCATATTTCTGGGTGCATTGGATAATCCTTCAACGCAAGAACAAGTGAGTGGAAGGCAACAGTTGATTTATAACTTAAAGCAAATGAGGACAAGAAGCTGGAGTTCTGCAGAAACATTTGCAGTTATGGGCGTTGTGTTTTCTGCTGTTGAATGTGTTGTTGAGAAACCAGAAATCATAACACATACACGTCGAAATTGAATTGGAGACTGAACTCGTATTCATTGTTTTTCTTAAGGCTCGGGCTAAACATGACACCACAAATATTGTTGTTGCTGGTTGTGTTACTATGTCACCGAAAGGTATCTACTAACTGTTCTCTGATACTGCTTATAATGTCTCTATGATCTCTGTAAATGCTCGTAAGGCTTGGTGTTCATATCTTAGTTAGCATAGAAAACAAGTGGCAATTTAATTTAGAATCAGTTTTGATACGTGCTCATTCTATGAAAAGTTGTGTTCTTTCAGTTCCTGATAAATTTTTGGTGGTTCTTAGCATGGAACTTCTGAAGAATGGGATTGATCTTCGTGATGAGCCCACTTCTATGCAGTGCACATTTTGTTTACCATCTATACTTGTCTATTAAATAATGGAGTTTTATTGAAATGATTAAGATTTTTGTAGGGGAAAGAATGTATTTTTTTTCTCATAAATAACCAAATCCTAAACACACAAATGGGGGTAAAGAAGCCGTAGTCTGGTAACAATATATTGAAGCAAATTGATGGAGATAGATGCATTTAAAGAAATAGTAAAAAGAAAAAGTGAGGAAGATGGTTGGACAAAGGGCAAGGCAACAATAATGATAATGTCATTCATAAATCCAAAAGCTAAAGGGAGAAAACAACACTGCCACCATTTCCTCCCCAATTAATCCATCTAAATTCTATTAACAATATGCTAGATCCAGCCTCCGATCTGCTACCGCCGCCCTCCTCCCCCACCATCTCCTCCGTCTCCTCCTCTGATCTCGACACTCAGGTAAGTTTTCATCACCCGCTTTCAAGTTTCCCATGTTTTTATTTCGAGTTCAGCTTAATCTTTCCTTCATGCAATCCTGTGTTTTCTTGTGTGTGAGTGAAGTCCACAGGTTCTTTCTTCCATGATAGAAGCACTACATTGGGAACATTGATGGGAGCGAGTTTTCCGGCTGTCACTTTTCGAGCTCCTTCCCGGCACCATCGCGAGACGCAACAGGCAAGCGTCGGTTCGGCATCTGCGACGGCGTCGAAACCCAAGAAGAGGAGGGCGCTTACGGCGGGTTTCGGGGCGAGCGTCTAGGGAGGCGGCGAAGGACGTGGTTGCAGATATGCAGGGACGGGGATTCCAAGCCGGCTTCACTCGGGGAGTTCCTGGAGGTGGAGGGGAGGTTCGGAGACGGCGAGTTTTACGGTGCGGCGGCGGAGCTTGAGGGGGTGATGGGAACTTCTCACGATGAGCATCATGATGCGAGGAATGGACGGTCGTTGTTTGCTGATGGGAGGGTGTGCCTCCTGCGTCGGCGGCTTCTCATCCGGCCGGTGATGATGATGAAGAAGATGAAAAAGCATCGACGGGCGGGGCTCTTTGTAGATTCCCGTTGTCGCTCACGGGGATATGTAGCGGTGGCGTTGGATAAAGTGTACACCTTGCATTTTTTATTGTTTGTTTTTTCTCAGTGCATAATTATAAATAATCCAACGCTTTGTCCATTTACTAATTTAATTCATTTCTTTAAAGACCATTAATATGGCATCTGGTGGTTTAATTATTTATTTGAAGAATTTTCTTCTTAGCACTATTTTAGTTTTATTTTTGCCATTTTTTTAAATACATTCCTTTTCAATTAAAATATAATTCATGTCTTTAAATTAGAATGTTTGAACTTGTCATCATTTTTCAAACAAGTTTGAGAAATTATTAGATTATCATGCTCTTTAATTTTTCATTTATGACATATATTTCATTTTATTCTAGTTTATATTTAAGTATTGGGTAAATGAGCACGAACCGAGGGTTCTCCTTGGTAAAGGAATAATTATCGTTTTTTGAGACTCGAGTTCGAGAACCGAAAATGTCAGGTACATCCACCAACCATCAACGAGGTATATCTAAACCCCTATAGCCACCAAGAAGCAATTGAATGCAAGTAAAAATGCAAAAGGGTACATCCAAGAGTTCACAAGTTATGGATAGTCACCTACCATCAACGAGGTATATCTAAACCGAACATTAGTAGCCAATCCTCTTTTCTTGAAGAAAATGTTAAGTAATACACCAAGAGGTATATCTGCACGTAACTAATGTTAACACCAACAACTCCATGTATAGGCTGATGTGCCATCATCTCTATTTAAGGAGCAAGCTTCTGGCATACTAATTCGAAAACCCTAAACACCAGGCTATTAATCACAGGACCAAAAGCTACAACATGTTGGTGCAACAGGCTCCAATTTTCATTATTACATTGCTAATTTCTGCAGTCTACGTGGGGCTTAGCTCGGCAGTAGTAAACCCAGCAGCAGCAGAAGAGCCGGTTCTTGAGTTCTACATGCATGATATCCTAGGGGGAAGTTTACTTGGAAACAAATATAGTGGTCAGGTACCTTTTGCTAAGCCTGTTGGATTCATGCCCCCACAAGGTGGTGTCCCCATCCCTAATGCAAATGGTGCTATTCCCACCGTCAATGGCCTCACCGGTCTCCCTTTGGGGACCGGATTAGCGGGCACGGCTTTCCCCGGCAACCCGAACCAAAATGGTCATCTCACGTCCCTCTTGGACCTGATGGATTGGGGCTAGGATTCGGAACGATCACCGTCATCATCGATGACTTACTCACTGCTAGCCCTGATTTGGGGTCACATGCGATAGGGAAAGCTCAGGGTGTTTACGTGGCTAGCTCGGCCGATGGAACGACCCAAATAATGGCAATCACGGTCATGATTGAAGGCGGGGAATACAATGACAAACTCAACCTCTACGGGGTGTACGAGGTCGGAAGCACAATGTCACATGTGTAGGTGACGGGCGGAACAGGGAGGTTTAAGAATGCTTGTGGCATTGCGGAGGTTCGACCTCTTATACCCCCTGGTCAACATGTCACCGACGGCGCTGAGACACAGCTGAGGCTCACTGTCCATCTCAAATACTAAGATATTGCACCTTGTCTTTAAAATTATGTGTTTGATTGCCTGGCCGGCCACTCTCATTTCTTCCTTTATTTTGCCCCCATATATTGCTATGCTTATTTTAAGCTCTTAAAGAAATACTGTTGGATCAGTTAGTTGTTTATAAATATACGACTTAATTGGGAAATTTTTTGAAAAATCAGTAACCATTTTTACTGGATGTTACCTTCAAATGAGAACGAAATACAAGTATTAGAAAGAGGAGATGTGTTAATGAGTTTTAAAATGTACTACAATATTCAAAAGGCAATATATAGTATATATTATACTATATAATATGAAAATTGGTTGGTCGATAATGCCTACGACGAGCGTGTTTCAAGAATGGTCGGCTTTCACGATCCCTGTTTCGAAAACCTCTCGCCGGAATCATCCACACCGTCGCCGGCCGAGCTCTGCGGTGCCATCTTTGCCTGGAAAGGGAAAATACAGAACTCGGTAAAGATGTTGCCGATGTTAAAGGTGGCATGTTTCAACGCCTTGGTAGCCTTGCGAGTGAGGCAACTCATCTCCTCTTGAGTCAGCACCGAGTAAAGCAAGTCCATGGGAAGAAGAAAATAGACGTGGCGTCGCTCCAACTCATCATCCGCCGTTAATCCATGAACCCTGAGACCTACTATTAAGCCGCTGGAATCGCACACGAATTGGCCTGGATTCTCCGCCATCAGATCGGCTGCTTTGAGTGGTTTGGTATATACCCGCAAATTCCTATCTGGGAACACCACTCTCACTGCTCCACCACTTGAGATGATCGACGGCGCACAAGACACTGCATTCCCCATTATTAAACAGAATTATAATGGCTGAGGATAATGAGACACCCTTTGTTATTTTGACATGAACTAATGAATGGAGATGGTGGGATTGATGGTATACGTCCCATGCAAAGATGGTGGTTGAACGATTAAGTAGACGGTTTATTTATTTATTTATTTACAGGTAAAACAAGTCATCGAATTGTGCTCAAATAACTGTTTTGTACTACTCAAGAGTTATAAAAATAAGTATGAAATTATTTGAATAGTTAAAAGATAATCATTAAATTTATCAAACTATTACAAAATTATCATTAAATTTTATCAAAACATTATACAATAATCATTAAAATTTTATAATTTATTATAACATTGCATTTGTATTAGTTTAAGAAATTTAATGATTATTTTATCATTTTTATAAGTTAAATGACCAAAATAATTATATGAGTATAGTTTATGGGACATATATGAGTATCAGACAAGTGTCATCAACGTACTTTACTGCCTCCTTGGCTCTCCTTTGCTGTCTGTCTTGGCTTAATTGCACAGCTATCCTCGGACTATAGCCTATGTTTTATATTAATCTAAAAACTTCAAAATATTCTAATTAAATATCCAAATTATCAATACTGTATAAAAACTTTGTTATTTATTTATGCTACCATGTCATTTAGCCTGCACAAGTTTGTTAGGATTTTATTTTTGTTGAATAAGTAAGCACATGGCGAGGATTAAGATTAAAGACAATTACTTAAGCATTTACCCTTTCACCATTACTTAATCATTAGTACCATAAATACAAAAGCTGGCAAGGGATTAAGATTATTTAGACACCCATTGTTGTTTATGTTTTGTATTATCTAGCTTGCAAACCATCCTTGACTTGGGTAACCTACATAATACTCTCAAGAAATTAACAAAATTAAATCAGGATTGTTAATATTATAGATAGGTTTAATGATTAAACACAATTAAGTATGTTTCACCACAAACACCAACAGATTAAATCGATACAAAATTTGAAATACGAAAAACCCCATCTCCTATTATCTAAATATTTAGGTATTACTTTAAAACTCAAATTCGGCGGATTCTCAACATGTTTAATTCTATAAAATCAACAGATATAAACTTCCAAGGGAATAAGTCAAAATCATCACCAGTCCAGGCTTAAGATTAAAAAAAAATCATCTTCCTTATCGCTTATATATTTAAAGATAATTATGATAATTGCTTTCTATATTTCTTTAATTAAATCTCTATTTCATCAAATAAAAATTATATATATTTATGTCAAATCAATATGAATTTTTATCAAAAGCTTTATATACATCACGGAGATGATGATACTCATCAAAATCTATGTACATGTCCTTTATATACATATATAATCCTTTGTTCAATTATGTTACATGAAAATAACACAAACATGATCCGAATGCACATATAACATGAAAATAGTACAATACTTTGATCAAAAGCTGTAGAAATTTTTACGATCACTGAAGTCTAACATATCCGTACATCTAACTTGCTTGCTATTCTGTATACTGTACTGTCTGTACATGTGAAAAATTAACTTCTAAAAGAATACAAATCAAAGAATACCGACACACGAACGAACTCTGCACACCCATAACCAAGCAAACGAAATCCCAAGCTTTTAAAAGCGGGAAAAAGAAAACACACAAGAAAAAAGAAAAAATGAAATTAATATGGAACAAGGGACAATGCAAAACCCGGAAACTAAAACCTCTTATGATTCGAATCTTACATGCAAAGGAGATGAAGTGATCCCTGGATGGATTGCCTTCACCAATGCCACAAACTGGGATAAACTCTCTTCCGAGAACCACTTCAGTTTCCATGTCTCTTTCTTGCGATTTGTACCGACCATCTTTAGAATTTTCATTGAGGAGGGGACCTTTGTTGTGCTGCACTCGAGAGATAATGTCACACAATGCCTCTCTCTGCTCTCGATAATCTAGAGAAGAAGTCGGATCAGAAAGAGGAGATTATGCATATTATAGCAAACAAGGACTTCTTCATGAACATGTATGGAAAACCATTGCTGAGATGAAAACCTAACAAGTTTAAACAAAAATATACGGCATATACTTCTATTATGACTGTTACATCAAACAATTCCATTAAAAACATAATATATTAGTTGCACAATGCAAGAATGAAGTACGGGAAAAGTTACCAGCTCAGATACATCTGCGATGTTGCAGCATGAATCCAGGGAGAAATATGGAGGTGAAGATGCATCATTTAAGAGAGAACTGAACTGAATAATGTCTTCGACACACACAAGCACTTGTCCTCCAATGACAAACAGTGATCGTGAAAGCCATGATTCCTCTGTTTTCACATGAAAATTAAGCATATTATCAAGTCTAAGGCTTATGTGTCTATGCTTTTGCATTTCACAAGCGAGAGGTACTGCAAGAATGAATTGTTAACAAGCAGGTGCTTTCATATAATCTAAACTAAGAATATGATCCACTAAAGATAATCATACAATCACCTTTTTTCTCTGAATGCATGCACACAAAAGACCAAAGGCATCAACATCCACAACCATAATACCATGTAAGCGAAAAAATTAATGATATTTATGGAAGCATAACCAAAAGTTATACTGGACAAACAAAGATGCAAAAAAACTCTCTGCAACAAAAAATATCATCGGCAAATACAACCTGTTTCTGCACCCTTTAAACATACCTACAAGAACAAATAGTAACTAAGTTGTATACCATGTAGAAGTTGCTTCAATACAAAAAGCAATCCTATTCATCTAAAGTTGCATATTAAGGCCAGCAAACTTAGAGGCAGACGTTTTAGCAAAGCCTGGAATTGGCTAGGCTAGGGAGTTTGTGGTTGGGTTGTTTTTTCTTTTTGTGTTCGGGTTTATCAATTGTATGGGGGGTTAAGCTTGGTTGTAATCACATGCATTGTACTAATCTTTTAGTAATAAAATTCGAGGCACTCTTTTCCTCCTTCCGCTGATTCTGGAACATCTTAAGGTGTTCTAGTAATCATGAAGGGGGGTTTTTAACGAGGCCTCCACTTCTTATAAAAAAAAGAACAAAACTTTTCAAAGAACAAGAACATGTCAAAACTGACTCTAAATTACATTGCCGCTTCTTTCTCTGCCTGTCAATTTTCATTATTTTGCTTGAAACAGTATCTACCCTCCCCATTGCACACAAGATTATAGGATATATGCCATAGATGACAACATATTAAATATAACAAATCATGACAAGATAAAATTCAGTGCACATACCTTCATTGCCACCTTTCTGAAAAAACACCATCGAGTATTGGAAAATGCTTAATTTTAAACCTTGACATATTTCTTTCTCAAACAACTCGACCTGAACCTGCTCCAAACTGCCATTTAAATTTCCAAACCTCAATCTATCATCACAAAGAAATGTACTCTGTATGGAAGCTATTGACGTCAAAATCAAAACTAATTATTAAATTCCTCATCCTATTTGATGTAAGTTGTTGATCTAGAGTGGTTTTTGGAAATATAAATTTACATTTGATGTCAGTGCATGCAACTTTAACAACATTCACTGAAACATAGGGAAGAAAAAAAGAAAACCCAAATAAATAAACGAAAACTAATTTAAATCTAAGAAGTACCAACAAGGACGCATAATATGGGAAGAACAAGGAACAGATATGGTAACACGGGAAGTTTTTAAAAATAGGACACTAATATGGAGAGGCAACAATAGAAAACTACTTTTACATGATAATTTATAATAAAAATGCAACTTGAACTGTACAAAACCATTAGGACCAAACAAATTAAGAAAGGCCAAAAGGTCCTAAATTATCGCACTCTACTACCCGTCTAATTCAGTACCACATTATACTTCTTTCCCCCTGGTTCTCATTCCATACATTTAGGTTAATACTCCGCTTTCTACTCCTATGCTTTTTAGTGTTTAACAAAAATATCATGCTTCCAAGCATGTTCAGACATTTCTGGCTTTACCATGTCTGAATTTTGCCCAACTTACCGTGTCCAATGTATTTTGCCACATCGGAGCAATGTTCATGTCAGACGTGTTCGACACTTGGATACTCCGCTGGCAAGTGTTTTTGCTTCATATTATGAAATTCTTTTAATGATATGTCCAAATAAGTATTTATATCACATAAACACAGACAATTACAGATGGTATGTTAAGTATCAAGTTTCATGGTTAAGTGAAGGAGTATTGAAATCACCTCCTTAAAGAACATTTATCATTTGGTGCAGATGAACCAGAAACTTTCAACGTACAAAGCAATTGAATTGATTTCTTGAAGCTTCTTGTTATGAACAAGTACGCTACACTCCCTTCAACACACACCCTAACCAACAATAGAAAAGAGAGACAGTTAGAGGAATGATTATTATCGTAACTTCCATTGAAGTTACAAATCACTAACCTCACAACCTGAAGGCTCAGACCAACTACAACCACTCTTATGTCTTCAACCCTATGGGAACCTAATAAATCCAAGGTTTTCTCTGCAGACACAGTAAAGTGAAGGCCATAATGAAATTTGACAAACACTAAAGAAATTTTGTCAACAAATCAGCACTGCAAAGACTATCAACAAAGGCAACTTCATTATCCAACCTGATCCATTAAATGCGACGCCAACAAGCAGCACATACCACTTTTCCTCACTGCTCAATACTAGAGTTACTTCTCTGCAGATGTAAAGAAAGCAACAAAAACGAAATTATTTAAAATACCAAGTCCTCAATTTATAAGAAAGGCCTGGTTGGTGCAGGTTTATGAAAAATCATAACCAACACAAAATGAAACACTCGAAAACCATATCAAGCAAACAAGATCAAGGGTTTTCAGAATGCCCAATGTGAACATCTAGCCTAAAAACACGTTAGAAAATCACGAAGATTAATATGAAAAAGAGAAATTTCTCGGAGAATAAATTCATTAAAAGATGTCAGGGGTAAAGACAAAAGCATAAAGAATATAAAAGGTAATTGATTGGAACAACTTCACATAAAAAAATTCTGATTAAGCTAATGACACTGGACACCATTGTGAAAGTAGTGTCAATTATTACCAGTAATATGATTTTGAATTCACAAGCAGGAGACTGAAAAAGCCTCATCAAAACAAATATCTAACCTTTTTCCCTAAAATTTTCTGTAGTACTTACCTTTCTTTGCAAAAAGATTGGTCAACCATACAATTGCAACGCATATATAACCTACAAGTTTCATGAACTCTCAAATCTGCAACATTTTTATTGAAATAGTCCACAATAAAATCATTCTTCCCCCGAGAGGAGCACTCGGCATCAGAATATCTCACACCATTATCAAGTGGAAGCTTTGAAATTGCATTTTTAATCTGGTTTCTATCAAAATATTTCTGATGATCATTATCCTTTGAAGAGTTCTTCCCTTCCATTTCTTTCAAATGAACCCCACTATCCCCCAGACTGCCATTTGATTCTTGTGGTACATATTGACAGCTGTTCTCTTCCAACAGTGAAATCACTCTTCTCTTCGGTTTCCTTCCACTTTTTCTCTTCTCAAACCAATCAGCCTCTTGGTTTACAGAAGAAGATGTCTCTAGATTATTAGAACCTGCACCTAACTCACTGGACAGTGACAGGGATTGTTTCATATTTACAAATTTGTTGGTCCTAGGGGCTTGTTCAGCGCATGAATCAACGATGCATACGCCATTTTCACTCCCATGTGAGGTGTTATTTCCATTTTCATAATAAGCATGCTCAAAAAAGTTTGCCGGAGAATGCCCTTCACTGCTCCCATTGAGATATTCCTCGGAAGGTATCCCAGCTTCACTGTAATCATTTTCACTGCAGCTCGTATCACTGTCTGATGATGCCACTGAATAGGACTCCGCTGATAACTGTAGAATTTCTTCCACCAAATTCTGGCGACGCAAAAGATCCTTCTTATAATGTGGTGGCGATCCAAGGGTAGCAGATGAAGAATTAGACTCTGTTATATTTTCAATTGAATTCAAATGTGATACACTGGCATTTTCAACCATTCTATTAGTTTCTTCAAGGGAAAATATATTACGATGAGAACTCTCAGCTAAAATGGATCCACAACCAGTCTCATCATGCAAGTATGATTTCTGATACTCTTGTTTCACTTCCATTGTCCTCAAGCCTGGTAGAGAAAATCCACCAGGAATTCCTGAGGAAAAGATATGGTCAAAATATCTGTTGGCATTCACACTGGCAGATGTATCTGCAAAAGAATTATCAGATTCCAAAACATTCATGCTACTTTCATCTCTTGAAGCTTCAACCGACTCTGAAACATATCTAGAACTTTCACTAAGATGCCTCATGCTTTTCCCACCTTTCTTATAATTTTCTTTCCCAGGGTGTAACATAGCCGTATTAAAACCATCATCAGCAAAATTTTCAGAAGGATGATCCATCCAGTCCTTGAACTCTCGTAACCAAAGAATAGATCGTTCTTTCTTCAATTGTTCTACTCTTTTCATCAAATCGACTATTTCAGCTTCATCCTCAGATATATTATTCTCCTCTTTGCTTTGCATTTCATTATCGCATGACACAGAATCTAGATCAGAATAAATGCATGTGTTTTCTTGTTCATTCTCAATACAAGCAAGTCGAGATGCCTTTATCTGCAAAAAGTTAAAACAATAACCACTTATTAGTACAGCTAAAAAGGTATAATAAATTACGAAGTACATGAACAAACCAAAATTCATCAAATGTATCCAAAAGACTAAGCAGGGTGCCAAAATTTAAACACAGGGAGAGAGGGAAGATGGATGACAGTAAAGTTAAAATAACGTACAAAATTGAGAATTGTTAAAACTTTACCCACCCTCTTTTTATTGATAACCCCTTCTCCTTCAGAATCGTATTTTGCAGGATAGTAGAACCCAAAGCTGGAAGGTCGCTTCTGTCTTCTGGCAACAATAATCGTCATCTTCCAATACTCTCTTGTGCTGATTTCTTTGTCATCTAATTTCAACTGATCAAACCAAGTAATAGAACAAGGGAGAATTGTACCATTAACAGGATTTCAAGCAAGAAACTAAAATTATGAAATGTTTTAGCAAAGGAGCATAGAGGTTTAACAACCAAACTCCATCTGCAGATATATACTTGAGACTTACATTTTCAGGACGATTGAAGTAGCTGAATACGTGTGCACGGTACCATCTGGCACAGCATAGTGGATTCCCTTCAAGCCACAAGCTTCGAAGAGATGGGAGCACCGCAAGGAACTCTAACTCTAGAAAATTGGAAATAATATTGTAGGAAACATCAAGCCCTTCAAGAGACTTCAAATTCTCAACACCACGCAATGTAGTTAGAGCATTGTTCCTCAAAACAAGTTTAGCAATATGACAAGAGACCTGCAATTTTCATCAACAATGATGTATTTGTCCAAATAGAATTCCTATATCAAAATATTTGGTGAAGGCAAAACATGCAAAGCATAGAGATCATAACCAAAGAAAGGTTCAAGAAAAAAAGTAAGCCTAAAACAATCAAATAAATGTCAAACCAGTAAATGTTTAAACAGACTATAGACCTTAGCTAAACGAAAAGTCACCTTTCTTTTATTCAGGGCTTATTCAAAATGTAAAAAGTAATAAATAAGGGAAAGTGTTACCGGAAAAGAGCAAGGAGAGAACAACCAAAGTCCTCAAGGAGTACACAAGAAAACATGTAAACAAGCAGTGGCGGACAGGGTGGGCACCTGCTCACCCTGAAATCCGAATTTTCTTTGATTAGTTACTTATTTTACTGATAGTGCCCACCCTGAAATTTTTCGTGCCCACCCTGAAATCTGAGTTTTCTTCGATTAGTTATTTTAAAGACGATGCCCACCCTGAAATTTTATTTGTACCCGTCTCATTTAAATTTTATGTTGTTAATATATGAGTGCCCACTCTGAAAAAATATTTCTGGATCCGCCACTGTAAACAAGCATTAAAATATCCAAAACTAAGCCAGCTAAAATGATCAAATTAGACTGTTCCTTCTATATAGAACCAGATCTCTTCTTAAACTTTCCTCCCACGTCGTATTTATTCTCTCTTCCTTTAGACATGGGAAATTAATCTTGACAGAATCACCGTTATTCCACTGTCTCATATGTAAGAACCATATTAGATGTGTCCTTTACTTTAATTGGTGATATGGCTACATTGACCTTTTTCGATCTAATCTATGTTTTCTCAAATATACATGTATCCATCTTAACAATCTCATTGCAGCAACCATCAGTTTCTGAACAAATGAAAATTTAACTGCTTGCCATTTAGGGTCACATAGTTTGAATCCTATCATTAACATCTCACTCAAGAATATCATCTTTTGTACTGTGTGAAAAAAGGCTAGATGGTAGATGCAATTGAAAATACAATACAAAATATATGCCACCAAAAATCATTATTTCATGAGTAAAATCATGCTGAATTACCTCGCTAAATGATGAGACGGATCGCAAGTGATTGAATCCAAGGTCCAAGTGCTTCAACTTAGCACATTTCCGAAGATTATCAACCTTTGCAAACTTATTTCGACTTAAATCAAGGGTCTCAACAACAGGAAGAAGTTGCAAAGATTCATCCATTAATAACAAGCCATTGCATGCACAAGAAACAAAGGACAAGCGGTTCCACTGTGGAGAGCCCTTGATCTCAGCAATTCTACTGGCAAACACATGTCGTAAAGCATCCTACATAATTTAAAAGGACAAACATTATCCATGAATTGTTGTGAAGTTCCTGCACCAGTTCACCTACTGTTCATCAAATAAAAACTGAGAAGATTTTGTCTACAGAGTCCATTCATAATTTTTACTAAATTGTCACTAGAATAACAAAAGAAGGAATGATATATAACTACAAGAGGGTAATTAACTCTCCCTGTGCTAGTAATAAATGCAAAACATCCAAAGAAACTCACAGTTGAATTATGACAAATAATCTTCTCCAAGGTATGTCTCAACTCAAGCAACCCCTTAGCTGCTGAAGTAGACAAATCGCAGCCTCTGAGTTCCAGAACCTTCAATCTCCCAAACGGCAGAAAAGAGAGAGGCGTGGGGTCACGCGCAGGCGGAGTCAAGACAGACACCACTTTAAGAGTCGTAAGGAGCCGCAGAATCCGGCGAAGTTGCTCGAGCGCCCGGTGATCGCCGAGGTCCGACACGTAGGCACGTAAATAGTCAACCGGGGCTCCAGCTAGAAGTCTTTCCAGCTCCTGCAGCGCCTCGAGCCGTGATTGCACGTAGTGGAGCCCAGCCGGGTTGAGCTTCAGCACCTTCGTACCATCAATCAAAGCCTCTGCTTGTTGGTCAACGAATTTAACCAGCTTCTCGAGGTAGCGATCCCCTGTGACGATCGCCATCGACAGTAGTGGAATTAGGGTTTAGAAACAGAAGGAAAGACTCATCCGCCGGCACCGCATCGAAAACTCATAAACAAACACACATTCAAGTCCCACGGTGCATAAATAAATACAAATATACCCAAATTCTTAAACCGTTCTAAGATGCAAGAAGCTTTAAGGGGGGAAACTAAAAAACACGACGAACTGAGAATTGAATTCCCGGAGGAAACCAGAAGGAAATTGCTTTGAAGATTGCGAGTGAAGTCTTTCAAACTAAGAGATGGAAGGGAAAGGGAAACATAAGGGGATTGCTGTTGTAATTATTAACAAATTTATAGGAAACAGAGAGGGGGTTCAGGGGAGAGAGACACGGCTTTGGGAGGGCAGATCACTGAACCAAACGAAAACGACGGTATTTCTTTATTTTATTTTATTTTTCTTCATTTGGACGAAGTGGGGGGGGGGGGAATTTGCTTTATGGGTCAAACTTTGGCATTTAGGACGAACAGCATCATTTTGTGCTTTCGTTTCCCCATAAATTCAAAGGAATTTTACCACTCGGCTATTTGACATTAATTTTTTCTAATATCTTTTTTTAACACGTTTGATCAATATTTTTGAAGTAGTACTTTTTCTGCTGAGCTGGCGAAAGACGTTTTCGAGGACGCGCTTTACCCGTGTTTTCGTTGAGTTAGATGTCACGTGTGGAAGACGCATCCCCGGGGATGCACCTTCACTGACTCGACTTTCACGTGTGGAAAGCGCATCCCCGGGGACGCGCCTTCCATTAAATGCCATAAATACCCCCATCCGTTTTCCCTAACTACCCCTCTCCTCCCCTATATAAACCCCCTCAACCCTCCCTCATTCTTCACACCAAAATCATATTCTCCTCTCTTATATAACTCAAATTCTCCAACTATTTGAGTTTTAAATTTGTTATTAGTGGTAAGAAATTATTTTTATGTTAGTATTTTTTTAAATAGTTATTATATTTTTTATTAATATATTTATGTAAATATTATTTTTTTATTAAAATAATATTTATATAATTATTATTTATTTAGAATTATTAATTTTTTTGCTAATTATATTGTTTTGTCTACAGTTATAATGGAAAACGAAATGCTGTTGCGATTGGATATTGATCATATCTCCAGACATTTTAGCGATATGGTAATATTTTTTATAATTAATGTTAATATTTAAATTTATTTTTATTTTAAAGTTATTATGAATTTATATTAATTTTTATTTTTTATAATGTATATTATTTAGGATACTAATCGTATTTTAGAGACTTTTATTAAAAATCCACGTATACCGACACCGAAACGTATTTTGCCATATTTGATTTCTGTCGGGTTCGGGTATATTGCAACAATTATAGGCGGTTGCAAACTCGAACATGTCCTAATTTCTGCACTGATTGAGAGGTGGAGGCCCGAGACACACACTTTTCACCTTCCATGTGGAGAGGCCACAATTACATTGGAGGATGTCTCTATGCATCTGGGGCTTTCCGTCGACGGAAATATGATGTGTGGTATGGCGGATGGAGATTGGCAATCAATGTGCATTGATTATCTTTGAGCTGCTCCGCCAGAGTTTAATGGAGGTAGAATAGCTTTATCTTGGTTGAAAGCTAATTTTGAGGTTTTAAATGAAAATGCTTCAGAGGATCAAGCAAAGGCATGTGCTCGGGCATATATTCTACGAATAATTGGAGGAATATTGATACCCGACAAATCTCGCAACCAGGTGCATTGTATATGGTTGCGGCATCTGATCGATTTTGATGAAGCTGGAAGATATAGTTGGGGCGCTGCAGTTTTGGCATTTCTCTTTAGAGAAATGTGTCGGGCGACGAATTATAAGAAAACTGCTATCGGTGGATGTCTTCTGCTTCTACAATCATGGGCGTGGTTCCGCATGCCTTTCTTATGCCCGATCGTGAATGAACCATACGTATTTCCCTTATTGTTGAGGTAATTTTCGAACTAAATTTTGATTTAAATATTTTCAATTAAATAGGGTTATATTTAGTTTATATTATAATTCATAGGTGGTCGATGAAAAGAAAGGTCCATAAAAGTATACCTACTGGGTTAGAGGAAATTTGTTTACTTATTGATACGAAAGTTGGGTCTGAGGTATGTTTTTAAATTTGTTTAATTATTAATATTTTAATTTAAAATGCTAGATATAATTAGAATATTTTATTTATTTGAATTGTATATTTATATTTCAGTTTCAGTGGATACCTTATGCGAGCGATGAAGTGAAAGCTTGCACCCCACCCCACCTTAGTGGGTCATTAGAGGTATGGATATCAGTTATACCTCTTATATGTTATGCTATTATTGAGTGGCATCCAGTTGATCGCGTGCTCCGTCAGTATGGTTGTACGCAATATATTCCTGGAGCACCTAAGAATTTAGACGACGTGCATAACATAGATAGACAAGGAAAGAAAGATGTTAACTGGGTGGTGAGACACAGAGATTGGATTGCGCTTTGGGAGAACCGATATACACTGTTGGCCCATCGACAATATTACGCTGAAACTGGTCATATGGTTACGGATAACAATATGGACTGGTTTAATGAAAATGGAAAGCCGTTTCTACTTTCGGCGGAAGCACGAGGGGTTAACATTCCTAGGCACCGAGAAAGACATCAACCGTCTCAATATCATCGTCCCCTGATGCGTGGACGGAGAGAAGGAGCTACCGGTTCTGCATCAGTCCCACCACAACATCCTTATTCGTCGATGCCGTAGGGGTACATGCCCAGCCCTCCACTTCATATGCCAAGCCCACCAGTTTATATGTCATCTCCACAAGGTTACATTCTGAGCCCGCAGGGTTATATTCTGAGCCCGCATGGTTACATTCCGAGCCCGCAGGGTTACATTCCTAGCCCGCCAGGTTACATGTCTAGCCCACAGGGTTTTACACCATATGGAGGTGCATATACGACTATGTTTAATGATCCAGCATATGGTTCATATGCATCTTATTTGGCTGGTGGTGCTTCTCCGCAGACACCTCAATCTCCATCTGGATCACAAACATCGATGCCAATGTTTCCACAGTTTTCACAGTTCCCGGGGAGCGGTGGGATTGTTACTAGCACTCCTCCAGGGTCGTTATTTTATACAGGCCCTTCAGCCCCTTCAGCGTCATCTACACCAAATGAAGAAAATGCTGCTGATGATGATAGTGAAGATGAGGAGACTGAAGAACAAGTTCCACGAAGAAATCCTCCACGAAATAGACAACCACCGCCATGTGGAACTCATTCGAGAAGACGACATCGGTGATCCAGTTGTATTTAATGTTATTTAAATAATTATATTTCAGAATTTTATGTAATTTGGTTATGTTATTTAAATGTTTCATGGTTGTTATATACATATTTTTAATGTTATTTTTTATTCACATTTAACATTAAATGTTTGATAAATGTTTTTAAAATACAAATTATATTATTCAAAATTTAAAATAAAAATAAAAATAATATTATTCGAAATTTAAATTTAAAATATAAATTATAGTATTCGAAATTTAACATTAAATTTCAACTTAATATTCCAATTGTATTCGAAATTAAAAGTTATATTCCAATTATAATTCACAATACTTAAATTGAAATTAAATTTATCCATACATATGATTTTATCATTAACATATATATTAAAACGTATACATTAAAATCAACTTATGTTGAGTTAATCGATCGACGAAATCGGCCAAGAGGGGGTGAATTGGCAATTTATTCAATGTCACATTTCAATGCTCATTCCATACAATTTCAATGTCACAATCAACTTATCACTTCACATTTATTCAATTTATCCATAACATTTTATCTAATTTATTCAAACTTCACAAAACGTTTTAATTTAAGTTATTCTTAACTTACTGAACTTTCAAAAGAAGTTAAATTTTGGTTATAATTTACCTGATTTACTGATATATCTAGTGTCCCCGAGGGACATGAGTGACATAATAGGGCAATGATAACATATTCTCTGACAAAATAATGGAAGGCGCGCCCCCGGGAACGCGCCTTCATGTGAATAGTGAAATAATAGGTATTGATATATCTAGTGTCCCCGAGGGACATGAGTGACATAATAGGGCAATGATAATATATTCTCTGACAAAATAATGGAAGGCGCGCCCCCAGGAATGCGCCTTCATGTGAATAGTGAAATAATATGTACTGATATATCTAGTGTCCCCGAGGGACATGAGTGACATAATAGGGCAATGATAACATATTCTCTGACAAAATAATGGAAGGCGTGCCCCCGGGAACGCGCCTTCATGTGAATAGTGAAATAATAGGTACTGATATATCTAGTGTCCCCGAGGGACATGAGTGACATAATAGGGTAATTATAACATATTCTTGACAAAATAATGGAAGGCGCGCCCCCGGGAACGCGCCTTCATGTGAATAGTACTCCGATTATAGACACTATTATATGCAACATATTATAAACTTTCAAAACAAACTTCAGTTCACAAGCTTTCAAATTCTCAAATTCCCAAACTCTAAATTCTCAAATTCTCTGAAAATGAGTCGTCTTTCTGCTGTTGTTTTGTATGATGGAGAAATCAAGGAAGTTGAAGAGGGGGTTGTTTTTGAGTCAGGTCATTATATCCCCTTAACCTTGAAGAGAAACATCACAATTGAGGAGTTAATCACAAAAATTTCGTTAAAGATTCGTGTAGCAGGCCAGAGAAGACTATCTTCACTTCAGTACAGATTTCCTACTGAACTTTTTCCGCTCACGTATACATCATTTCAGCTTTCAAACGATGATGATGTTTCTATGATGGTTGATGCTCATATGGGGAGTTCACAATCTCTTATTGAAATGTATGCCACTTTTATTGAGGTTCGTGCAACTCGTGGTCTCTCATATTCCTCTCACTTTGGCATTGCATATCAAACTGATCAAGTTGATAGCCCGACACAACTGATCTGTAATGATTTCACATCATTAATGGCAGATCCAACGCCAGATATCATGCCATCAAGTTCAATAGGAAGGCATTCATCTGTAACTGCTTATGATCTCAACCCACGTGGCTTCACCAATAATCCATATGGCAACATCTCTTCTACTTCAAGGGGCAGACATTCATCTGCCAATGTTTTTGACTTACATATGGAAATGCCAATGAGACGACAGTCTATTCACATCCCACATGATACAATGGCCTCAAGTTCAAGGGGAGGACACGCAAGCGGGAACTTATTTGACCTCAACATTGGATTATCGGAGGAACCCTCATCTCCACCAGAAGAACCTCTTCGGGAGCCAGGTGCAGATGGTGCTGAAACGGGATTATTCGTTGAACCTGACTCACCACAGTTTAACGTACATTCTGAT